CCATGCGATTTACAAACCTCTACACATTGTTAATGTAAACTTGCGGTGATATTATTGAAGAGCGGCCTACCTTACTGATTATACTAGTTTTAAAAAATAGAGTTTTAAATCCACTCTTTTATCTTTTTGCAGATGAATTTTATAAGGCATTCACACTTCAGCTGTCTAATCTTCAATAGACCAGAAGCCAATAAAAACTATCGTCAGTAATTTCTTCTATTTTTACTTGTTAATAATAAAGTAAGGTTTAGATTGTATCCAAACCCTAATGATCTATTCATATTTCACTTTGAAGACTCAAGATAATATTGTTGGAATTATTGATAAATTACATACATCATAGTTACACTAAGTCTATAATAATACTATCGATATGCCTTAATAAGAGAGTTAAAGAAAGTCTTTTTTTTTTCCTAGAAATCAGTTTTTTTTCCAGTAATTGGTTTTCCTCAATTTTTCGAAGACTTTCGGCACACAATGGTTGTGCGCCACTTATTCAAATGGTAGTGTTGCGACTTATTGGTTTTTTGAAAAACATGCGTTCATTTGATTGGATTTATTCTATCCGCAGACAACTTTTCTCGGGTTTTACTCACTTTGGAAGACCCAAACATTGGATTGCTGGTTTATTTCAAGCTCGTAGGTGTAGTTTCATAATTCATCATCTGTCACAATGCCATGGATGTGTTTTGAGCTACCTCGGCCGTATTTTTGCAGCATTCAACACTTATCTTCTTTTAAGTGATTGTCAAATGAAAAGGAACAGAAACAAAACATTCTTACAACTAAATGTATATATAAAAATGAATGTGTGCTGGTCCCATTTATATCCAAGAACGCGTCTATTTCTTGGTATATAACATGCCGATCAATCTCAATCATCGTTGTTTTCTGGAATAATCGTTGTTGGACGATCTTCAAGAAATTTGTCATGAAAAAAACTACGAACATGTTCAAAATCATTAAACCAGCCTTTCACAATCACTGAATGTGGTTTTTTATTACCCTATGTCAAACTAACTTGATCGATGCATTCATCTCTGGTTAATCCGCGTCGAAAATCGTAAAAAATCGTCGCATGAAAATGTTTATTATTTAATTCCATTTTTTTATTGAGACATAATTAAAAATCAATGTAAACAACACAATATGCGCGGGTACACTAAAACGTTGCAGTGATGTTTATACAAGAAAATGTCAACCATTCTAACAGAAATGTCAAAATTCATCTGACAATACTACGTGTTGGCTAGGCGCAAGATTTAGAAAGCAGCCTATATGCCTATATTATATTGTAAACTATACCTAAATAAATTTTAAATAATGAAACTTTTTATTCAAAAATGTACAAGATAAACGAAGAAACCCTTTCTATCAACTAATACTTACTTACTTAGATACTTACTTAGATATAATTTTTAAACTAAATTAGAACTTGGAGAGGGCTCTATAAATTTACTTCTTTTTTTTTGTTTTAACGGGGTGTAAAGTAATCGAAAGCGCAAGTGAGTGTGAAACTTCAATCCGCTAAAATCACCGAGATGTCCGATAGAGTTCCTTCTTAGCATTACCGATTTGGTATTTCATCAAGACGCTGCCCAGATCACTAACCGTAAACGTCTCTTTTTGTGCTTGTTTCTTTTTCAGCTAATGTGTTTTTATATATCATCGTTTCAATTATGTCACTGCAGCTGTTCTCATTAGATTATCTCTACACTTATCCTCGGTCAATATAATGTAAATATCTGCTAGAGTAGCTTCACTGGCAATATGGGTCAATAAGAAAATAAGGAAGAAAACTGTTAATGGGGCTAATAAACAATGTTGACGTAAATCTAAAAATCAAAATAAATTGAATTTTTAAAAAATTTGCAAAATGGAATAAATAAACTTAATTCATTTTATGCAAAAATATTTTTTAAGCATACTTTTTTATATGTTTTGTGCATAAAATTTAATAAATAAACTTAATCAATTTAAAGATACCAGAACATTTTTCACACAAATATTATAAGAAATCGCATTGCAAACTAAAGAGATATTAATATATAGCTGGATATATACATATATATGCCATAAATATGTTTCCTCAATTTATATGCAGGCTTTGTGAAATATAACAACAGGACACAGCAACAAAAGGAGCATATACCATACCATTATACCAGAAATGGCCACACAACGGACTAGACAAGCGCCACGTATGCATAATCAGTGTTCCTAAGACTCATCAAAAATTTATTGTGCGTACGTTGTTGATGGTTCTGATATGTTAATAAACCGAATAAATGCGTGTGTCCTCAGTTTAGATGACATACCCCGTAAAGGATACCATAAGTAGCTAACTAACCACACAATGGATTGAATTGATTTAAGTTTACAACAATTCATACCTTAATGTGTTGAATGCTTAAACTAGTAAAGAGAAGAGAGTTGAACCATGAGATGTGAAAAAAAGGTGCGTCTGTATGTCTTTAGAGCATAAATTGCTATAAATTTATAATCGGAAAGGAAATACTTTGCTTTCACTTTGAGTTCTTAAAAATTAACAAGCATTTATTATTTCTAAAAAATTTCACACAGTTTTGGGAAAGTGAATAAGTAGCTTTATAAGTTCGTGATGTATGTTTCGGTTTCTAGCTAATAACATATTTTTCTTGATAAGAAATTAAGAGTATCACACAAATAGCTTACAGACATTACTTATTTCGCTTACTCTATGAGTAGAGTGACAATCCTCGGGGACTGCTGCATTGACGTAGTGAGGAGGCCAAGTAGTTACGTCGAATCTTAGAGCGATGCCGGCAATAGCATGCTACTAGTAGGGCCTCCCTTGTCGATAAGATCGAAGAGAAGTAATACGTAAAGCTAAACGCAGTCAAGAACATAGCGTCGGTAATCATAATCAACGGCTGCAAAAGGCCTCTGTTCTCCAAATCTGTCACTACGTGCAAAGCTTACGAGGCTAACATTGCGCTTGTAACCTATTTTCAGGACTTTGCTTCCTTCTTTAACTATTTTCTGGAAATAAAACATGAGTCAAAACCGGATGAAATTACAGTTTCCAAGTGGTATTCGTACTTATACGACGAATCTACCTACTTCGGCAGCACGCACAACGGATTTGGAAATGTGAAACTTACGTTTAAACAGAATCTCTTCGTTAAATACAAGTATAACCAATGGCCCATTGTTCCCCTGGGAACGTAATAGAATGAACAAGAAACAATAACAATTCATTGCCAGAATTATTACACGTAATGAATTTGCAAAATATAGTCCACTTCTGCGTAACAGTTTTCAAAAATTATATTTTAGTGTTTCTATAGATCTCTTGAATTAAACATGGCTTTGGGAACTAACAATACTCATGTTGTGACCGTACTTATACCTCAGTTAAGCCCAAGTGTCACAAGCAGGATTTTATTTCATTTTTGATTTAAATTCTTCCATTAAAGTATCTAAGAGAATACACATGGGATAATGTCTGCCCTATATGTTTGAGTAAGATATTATTATAATATGTATTTAAATATAAAAACAGGAGTCGTAAATCAATGCGCAACGCCCGTCAAAATATCAGAGCAAAAACTTATACATCTGTATGTAACTGTCTCCACTGAAGCATCGTTTAACGGAAGGACCTAACGAGAGAGCTATAGAAGAATTTATTTGTGTTGCTTCTCTACTCGCTAAATTCATAGGCGAAATGTGTTGCATACAATTCTTTCGCGAGTTTTAATAATAAAAATTATTTGGAAGAAAAATAAAATAAACATGGGAGTATTTATAACATATATCCTAATTAACCTAAAAAATACAAATCTGTACATACATTTCCAAATCACAAACAAAGCTGCCGACTCTACTATCCAGAAGCTACAAGTTGCTCAAAGTCATATTTCTCCGAAGACTCTTCAAAGGGGCCTGAAGGAATATGCGAAAATCGACAAGCTGCCCTACTCTCTAATCTCAGAGTAACCACTAACCGCACGGGGCGATACGCAGATCCTAGATCAGTCATTCAATAATCACGAAGCATATGAGGAATACACAAATTAGTCAGTGAGATGGGTGGGACTCTGCAGAAACCCCCCAGTTATTAAAGAGTACAAGTGGTATTAATGATATAGTCTAGCCGATAAGAATAGCCCGTAGTTCATTTGATTGCAGGAGTTGTCACAATTTGGTAAGGAAGCAATGTATGCTGTGAAAACATTTATGCTTTTGAACTATATAGAATTAAAGGTAGTACGAGAGATTTATATAGCATGAATTTTAACGATCAAGAGAGAGATTTACATCCCAATTGTCTATTAATAAGTCTGTCTCCAAACCAGCAACCGCAATAAAGTTTAGTAAATATGTTGTTGTCAGAATTCGATTGACGGTAATGCTGAGTTCCTCTTGATTACCCACGTTAATACAAACCACTGTTTCTGATTATTGTTTTGTTAATATACAAAATTAAAATTAAAGTTGATAATCCAAGTACAAATGAAAAGGTTTACATTATGGATCCAGCATCAGCATATCGAAAGTGCATAGTTGATGGAAAGCAATCGTCTGGATTTGTGCTATCGTACATGCTTCTATTAACAATTTTGTAAAGCGCATTCACTGTTTCAAAAATAAATAATTTCTGGACCATATATGTCTGCAAAGTCTCAAACACTACTATTCGCCAGCTAGAAATTGCACAAAGCCAGGTTCTGAGAAAACTTTTCAAGGTACCATGGTACATTAGGACGAATGACATCCTTAGGGATCTCAAGAGTGATCCGATCAAAAAGTATTTAAAGGATAAAGCCCTGAAATTATTTACGAAAACTGACAGACTTACCAATACCGCGTTATCGAATCTCAGAATGGTTACACGCTCCTCGGGGAGGTAAAGTTGAGCTCAATGTATTATTCGATCACATTAAAGATTTTATCATAGTAAATGTGCAGCACAATTTCCCAAATTTAATTTCACATATTATTAAAATTAAGTTTATTTAATAAAAATTTATTATAAATGATTTAAATTAAAATTATATTTTAACGTGTATTAACGACAGCTTCTTTTCGAGCGGCGTCTTGCAACAATTGTGTGTCCACTTCCTCTCCAGGCAGTTGAACGTAGCGCACCACAGAGCCACGAATAAAACAGTTCTTCACTGACAACATGTGTGGATATTTATCCTGATCTGTTACCTGTATATCTGTTAGTTTAATATTTAGATATTGATCAACAGAATGTAATGTGCCACATATGCTATAAAATAAACAAATATACATGATATTAAAAATATACATAAAAAAATGCCGGTTTGTTTGCTATACCTTAAGTCATTTTTTAACTCCACAATTACGTCTTTGCCAACAAGAGACTTAAAGAAAGAATAAAACAACTAAAAAAATAAAGTTTATTTAAAATAAGAAACAAAAACTTGTTCAATGATTTTTACCATTTTCTGCTTTAAATTTGTTACTCGACACAATGCCGCTTTCAATCTACTCAGTTGTCAAAAAAGTATACAACAAAAAACATATGTTCGCTTTAACTTAGTTGCAATTCGTAGTATAGTTTAACTTTAGTGCTGTCAATAATACTAATCACAGTTTGAAAAGTACTGCAGTTTTGATGGATTATAGATTAGCAGACATAAGCGCGCGACTAGTTGCTGAAATATTTAACAGAACATTGAGTTGCAAAAATAATTGCATGTATAGAATTAAACCAACATAAGTTTATATGGTAAACATTACTTTTTCTCTCAAATTACATTTTGTATTAGCAGTCACCTATCATTAATCAAAGAACACCACCATAAACCACAGATTACCACCACTGTTTGAACATCACTCCTGCTTGCGGTTTTGACATAAAAAATTGCCATAATAAATGAGTGACAGCTGTAATTGAAACGTACAGCTGAAAAACAAATTGTCAAAAAAAGAAAAGTTATTATTTTCTCATCATGACGTTTTTAATTAATAAGTCTGGATTCAATTTAGTATTTAGTATACTATATACTAATCTAAAATGTTCGTAGTTGTTTTAGTAGATATTTGTATTTTTCATAAATACATACATATATAAATGAAATCAAATAACAAATTCTTTAATTACATATAAAACAATTATTAATTTCAGAGTAACCTTGTTACTCTGGTAAAATATCTAGAATGTCATAAATTAATCTCGAGTTTTATACAGATTTACCAATCGATAATGAGAATTGCACTAAGAGTGAATCTTCTTTTAACAAGTTAACCCATCTCATCTATACTTTAAAGCATCAGAAAAACTAAAATAATTTACATCTCATTTAAATAAGAACAATACCAAAAAATAATTAAAAATATAAGTATAATTCCAAACAGAAAAACTAAATTATTTTCAATTTCATTATTATAAAAACACTGCCAAAAAATATTCGTTAAAGCTAAAGCGAGTTAATTGAAAGAAATTAACTGATTCTGTTAAAACCAGTTGAATATATATGAAATTATTATTTTATTACATATTATATGTTATATTGTATAAAATATATTTAAAACAATATATTTCTGTTAATATAAAAACTAAGATAATTAATATTGATAATGATATATTAATATCATAATATAAGCAAATATAGATTGCCTTTATTGAAAATACAAGAAACTTTACAGTTTTAAGCGTATTGTAGTTTTGAGATTTACAGTTTATGTGTATTACAATTTAAAATTACGAATATTTATATTATACACAAACCATTACTCCAATAAAAAACAAACAAACAGTAGAACTTTGGAGAGATGATTACTATTCGTACTGTATAAAAAAAACTATAATTTTACAGTACGCAAAAACTTTGCAGTTATTACATCTGATACTTCTGATATATTATTATTACGCATAAAAATTTTCAAATTTCTAGAAAATAATAGTTTAAATATATTAGATAAATAAAAAATAGTTAAATAAGTAAAATTTTGTTTGAATTATTATCATCATTTTATGGTTTCAAAGAATAATAAATTATTTGATAATGTTTGATGGATACATCAAGAAATATAAAAATTTATTTGGTTTTTTGTTAGATGAAAAAGCCTGACATTGTAAAATCAGGTAAACGCAAAGGCCAGACAGAAACTTTTTTATTTTTTATCAAACTATCGACGAACAAAGCTTTTAAAAAATCGTATACGGCTCGACCTTTATAAGGTAGTGCAACACATATGCAATTAAATGATCGTCGATTATTAAATATGGTTTTATTTAAAATGTTTTTAATTTTTAATCTAATATGGTCCTAAATTATTTTTTAGAGTAATACACTTTCATATATTCATGTTAATGTAAATATGTATATGTAGTACTACTCATATTGGCTGTATTAAAATCCATAATCAAAAACCGAAACTAACTCTTTTATCATTTCTTTTTTCATATGTGTTTTTAGAAGTTGACAAGTTCTTCCAAAGTTTCCAATGTTAGTAGTAACATACTAATTATGAACAGCTTAGCTTAAAAACTATGATTTTATTGATAAAAAGTTATTACCTTCTTAATAAGCATATGGTGAGATTAGGTTTTTCAACAGATGAAGAATGCAGGTACTGTATGGAAGACACAAAAACATCCTTATACAGGCCAATTATTTCCCACGAAGTGTTGAGAGTGGTTAAACATCGATCTGGAAATAATTATGACTTTTCTGGATAGAGTTGAAGTGAAAACAATCCTTCAGTACTTACCGATAGGGTATGATAGAATGTTTCATCAATAGGCGTAGTCTATTGAAAATAGCTATAATGTTTGAGTCCACCAATACTCAATATAATACAATAGTGCTAATATATTAACAGAAAATGTGTGTATTGAAATTGTATATATATGTATTTTTTATTTATCTTTACCTAAATTCCTTTGGTTAGGGGATTCTTTGTCTTGACTCTCCTCCTAAAATATGCCACTAAGTCAAGATAATATTTCAATATTCTTCACATTTGATAATATATATAATAGATTCATATAATAGATTTGGAATATTTATTTAAGTAACTGTCAACGAGAGAAAAATTCTTCTGAAGATCTATGGTCCCTTACGCGTTGACGACGAGTATTGAATTAGATAGAACGATGAGCTGTATGAACTATACCATGTCGTACGAATGGAAGAAAGTGCTCCGGCGAGAAAGAAATTTTATTCGGTACCCGCAGGAAGACTCCGCATCTTCGGTGGAACGAACAGGTGACCAACGATTTGGGGGCGCTCGGTACTACCAACTGGTGTCAGAAAGTAACTAATTGGACTGACTTGCGGAAGCTACTCGACGCGGCCAAGGACGTGATGTGAGTCGTCTGTAATGGCCACCTAAATAAGTAATTAAGTAAGTAACTGTGAACTTGCCGGAAGATTTCCGATTCTTAGAGTCAAAAATCGCACAGATTGTCACGTCATATATACATTTAAAGAATGATGGTGACATAATTAGTTTTGTGTGTACTAAAGACGATATTAGACTGAATTTAACTCAATTGCACTTTTAAGTTCTCATAATCAATTTCATTTAGAATAAACTGATTGACAGATGAGCTAGCAATATTTAATGAAAACCAAGCCAACATTTATCATCAATTGCATGTGACCTTCTCAAAATGATGTTAGTTTATCTATAAAAATAGATAATTCTCTTCATAGTCACCCAGGAATTTCGCATAAATTCACATGGTATTGTCTGTTAGTATTTCAATAAACAGAACTTAATGCCGATATTATTTAATCATAGTCGTTATCAGTTCTCTAGCTTTAGGCCATCTGTTTATAATTATTTAGTTGTTTTCTAGAGAAGTAAAGATGCTTTTACATTTTCGACATATTATGATATATTACACATTACTAGTTTCATATTAAGAACTCATCTCTTTTACAAATATTTTCCTTTATCCATTCATATTAAATATGTATATATTATAAAAATATATACATATATTTAATTTTATATACATTTAATTTATTTATCTGCATTCAGTGATATTTATTAATAAAATATTGTATCTAAAAATATAAATTAAATATCTATGTCATATGTGTATGTGCCCAACTGATAATATTCAACGCCCCTTTCGGTATAAATACAGCCACACTCGAGCGATCGGTTTCAGTTAAGATCGGACTTCAAATCGGTAACTTAAGTGATCAAATTGTGTGAAAAGTGTTGTGTAAAAAATAATTAAATTACCTTTTTGGGTGTACACCCCCTGGATTGAAAAGGATTTAATTATGAAGAAAGAAATATTTGAGTGCAAAAAATTTGAAAATTGAGAATTTATTAATTGGAAAAACTCAATAATTATTAATATGTGTAAAATATCCTTCGTCGTCCTTCTGTGTGTACTATGTTGCAATCTAGTATTGTGTGACTTTGAACAACAACCAAAAATATTCATTGAAGATGATGGTAACCTCATTTTGGAGGCGGTTTATGATAAAGATATTGTATTTTCTTTATCGCCAAATTCTGCTCTGAATATAAATGATGTCAATTTAATGGAAATTTTGAATGCTCTTCAAGAAAACAATACACAGGTAGAAGCAAATAGCATGGTTTCGACAGACGAATTGACTAAGCAGTTAAATGCCTTTAAACGGGACTTACGCGGTTTAGAAAGAAGGCTTAGAAATTATGTAAATAGAACACGGTTTAACAAGTTAAGACGAGACTTGCGATCCGGTTTATTTAAAATCCGACAACTACAGGGCCGCATTGAATCGATCGAAAGAGACGCTAGAATAGATGAGTGCACTGTCAATAATACGATTCCATGTAAAAATGGTGGCTCCTGCTATGATCAATTCAATGATTTCATTTGCTTATGCACCGAAGGATGGATGGTAAGTGTTAATAAAAGTTAGCAAAAAATATTTCAATATTAACTAAACAGTTTTTTGGGGGCGTATAGAATCAGATACAATAAAAAAAATTCACTGAGTAGTTAATACAGAGCAAGATAAATAATAAACATTCTTACTTCTTTAAAATAATGCAAAATAAAAAAGATCGAATCGATCGAATTGCTTAAAAGCATGTCATTCAGGGAGTCATAGTCACGGCAAATATAAAGTTGTTGTTCTTTTCATTGCAAATTAAAATATTGAGAATGAGAGAAATAGAGAAATTTCGACTGTCATGCAATTCATCATTAGAACATGCAATGTCTGTACATCGTGGCCATTAGTTATTTTTCAAAATTATTCTCAAAACTTGCAATAATTAAAATAATATAAAATATATTATAAAACTGAAACAACCAGTGCATTTTTAAGTTTAGGAAAAAAACTACTTTTTCTTACTTAGAAAAACTTTCGAAGTCACTATTTGCTATATATCATTGATATCATAATTAATCCACATCTTCTTTGACATCCTATTATCTTCACCTAATATTATTCAATTTCCTCTGTAAGGGGATTTTAATACCTTTCTCAGCAATGTTCATATAACATAACTCTTCATTACTCTCAATCAAATGAAGAAGAAGAAGAAGCTTAGGGATCATTTTCATACATAAACTCAAATATTAATTCTACATTTTCAAATAAAATAACAACGATATCTCTCCAATCATCATATTCGATCACTTTAAAGAGACTTCACTTATAACTAGTTTTAGATATACTTTCACACCACGAAAAAATTTCAATATTACAGAAAACTTGCGGACAAAAATCTTAAACAAACGACTCCTTAAGCTGGCCATACAACTGTCGAGTTTCGCTAAATATTTATTATCTGTTAAATATAAAAATACTATTGGGTTGAGTATATATACCTATATATTTTTTTTTGGTTTTTTTTTACGGAGCGTAAATTTTAAAATTCCTAACGCATCGTCACCATGTCGTCACAATAGTGATTTGCACGTTTTGCTCGAACTAAAAACAATTTCCCTTATGTACCATACATCATTATTATAATCCATTATATATCCATATGTATTATGGTTGTATGATTGTATAATATAATTGTATACTCATTGGACTGCTAGTGCAATGGATTGAACCCAGTCAAATTTGAACCATGGACGCACGTGTTTACATACAAAATCAGCGAACACTTAAGTTGCATTATTCCAACTCGAAGTTTTGTAAATTTTTATTATAATAATTTTATTATAATTTTTATTATTAAACAAACAAACTACTTGCAGCACTATTTATAAGAACTAACACATAAACAACAGCTATATAAATTCATTTAACCATTGTAAATTGTTATTTTATAAAACTACAAGACTCCAGTTTGTGCAGAGCATTTCTGCATAATAAAAACTGAAACACTTTTTTAGATTTGAAACTTCCTTTTAAGGTTATTTCTACTCAAATTGTATTCATTGTCATCGCATATAAAATTTTTCAATAGCAAAACATTAAGGCAATCATTCATTATATTCAAGATCTTTGTGCGAACGCAATATAATAATTTCGAAACATAATATTCTTCAGATATTCTCATACTTTGATAGACTTTGCTTACTGATTAGGTTCATCATTTTAATTGAGTTATTCATCTATGGACATTCCAAAATAGTACTTTGTATACATATGTATAAAATATAGATATACTCATTTATGAACTATGGTCATTCAATGTAAATTACGTCCAATCCAGAGGTGTTAGTTATAAGTTTTGCACCGAAATCTTGCCATACGTCAATGTTCAAGTATATTAGTAACATCGTTGTAGTGAAGACAGAGTTTTCTCTGCAGTCTAAGTGAGTACAAATGCCGTTTTGCTACCACAAATCCGATCATGATAATCTCACTAAAGTATTAAAACTGATCTCACTCATATTTGTCTAGCAGGATTTTCAATTTGGATAGATTTTAGGTTGGCCATAAGAGCTTGGACTTATCGCAGCTTATTGTAGTTTTTTATTTACTATTTTATTTATATATATTTTAATTCTCTTGTGTGTGCTCTTCGAAAATAATCATGTAATATTTTTAAGCACATATTAATGAGATTAGTATTTATCTCTCTGCTGAACACACCTGTGATCCATGTCTAACAAGCTCTTTGGCGATTTCATTTGCCTGTATATCTTGATGACTTGCAATACAAATTATTGACATTATGCACGACTTACTCATTGAACTCAGTTAAGTTCCGCACTGCTTTTCTAATTTCAAAGACCGGGTGAAAATTGCTGTTCTACAGCCGAGAAAAATAGTAATCTGCTGACTATGTAGATTCCGTACAAGGAACTCCTTAAATCTACTTAAGCTGAAAAGATTTTTAAGCTACTCTTCATACCTTGTTAGAACCATCCATGATGAAATGGTAATCCTAATTGGATATATGAAATCCTTTTGGAATACAATTTCAATAGTGAGAATGGAGTTATGGCCCCCCAGATTGACTTATCAGCATACTTTTTATTGCAATCTAAGTGCCGACCGACATTAAGACAGTGTTTTTAATTTAAATTTCTTTCAATTATTTATATATTCTTAATTATATATATTCTTATATATATATTCTGTATATATTATACATATGTTATGTATTCTTATATTCCTAATAGTTTTAACGCTTGCACTTTTTGGTGTCTGTTTATTTTATTAATATAGTATTATTATAGAGTCCTTTCCATCAGACAAGTGAGCCACCGTACAGTATTGGACCTATAACCAGAATATACAGCCATATTATGATGTTAGAACACCATGCATGGTTGTTTAAATAAAGTTAGCAACAGGAAATATGATGATTAATGACCATAGTAAAACAAAGAAAAGGAACTACTAAATTAATAGTACATTACAGTCTTAAAAACTTTCTTTAAGGTCTGCTGTCTTTTACTTGCGATAGATAATACTATCACGACGAAGTGTACGCTAATGTCTTCTGAAACTTGTTCTGAAATGTATTAACTTATTTAGAGGAATTGTAAATGGGTTCGGAATATCTGAACGAATTTGAAAACGATTCGTATTTTAAAATTTAAATATAGTAAAATAAATGTTTAAAACTTCATCCTCATTAAACTGTTTCTACCTAATAATATTTGATGTACATGAATTGAAGAAATTGATTACACATTATGCTTCGAAATATCTATATCAACTTCGTTTTATTTTTTAAGGGAAAAACTTGTGATAGTGACGTTGATGAGTGTGCTCAATTCAACAATACTGATCTAGGATGCCAAAATAATGGACGATGTATTAATACTCCAGGAAGTTATCGGTAAGTTCCAATGCTAACATTACTTTTTTATAAACTATAAAAATGAAAAATACCTATAATACTCGTAGATTGCTAACGTATTATAGTTTCCTTTTTCTATAGTTTTGGTGTTGTATGATCTGATCTATTCCTAATAATACATTAGTATTATTCAATTGTATTTGATAGTCAAATGCTTTGATTTCAAGTATATGTCCTTACATACAATGCTATGACATTTTGATACCATCATGTGCGTAGTTTGGAGATTGTTTTGATTTATGGATTTCGCCCAGACTACGCCCAAATAATGATAAATTTTTTAGAAAAAAAAAGCTTTCAGTAATAATATTTTCCATTTGATAACTGATTTCAATATTATTATTATAGTTGTGAGTGTGCTGCTGGTTTTTCTGGTGTTCACTGCCGTCTTCGTGAGATGATTTGTGAAAAATATAATGGAGACGAACTCTGCGGCCATGGCACATGTGTGAGCGCCAATAATATACATAACTACACTTGCATTTGCGATGTTGGCTGGACATATACAAATTCTTCTCCAGCATGTGTAATCGATATTAACGAATGTGAGCTTCACACTAATCCTTGCCATAGTGAGTGTATCAATATGCCAGGTAGTTTTAAATGTGGTCCATGTCCAAATGGATACACTGGAAATGGCATTACTTGTCTTGACGTGGATGAGTGCGCTATCGATAACGGTGGTTGCAGTTTAATACCGAAAGTAAACTGTATAAATACTGAGGTACTATAAAATAAATAGAGAAATCAATTTCATTTTTTTGAATTGACGATGAATTTCATGTCTTTACTATTAGGGATCATATCACTGTGGCAATTGTCCAGAAGGTTGGTTGGGTGATGGTCATATTTGTATACCGGCTCCTTCCAATGATTGTACTTCAGAAAATATTTGTCATCCTAAAGCAAAATGTGAGTATATATCGGATACAGTGGTTTGCACTTGTCCAGTCGGTTTGTCTGGTCACGGTTTTGGGGAAAATGGTTGTAAATCGGAAATAGCCACACATCCATGTGAGAATCATGAATGTAAGGCAAGTATATTCCACAGATCTGTTATAAGTCACAATGTTGAATTTGTTTATATTTTGTAGAATAACGGAACATGTGAAGTGAATGGTGAGGGCACTCGTTGTATATGTCCTGAAGGTTATATGGGTGCTACATGTGAAAAAAATGACGCATGCCATCCAAATCCATGTTCAAATGGTGGTAGTTGTAAGTTGGCTCCGAAAAATAAGTATCGTTGTGCATGTCAACGTGGCACTACAGGAAAAAACTGTGAAATACAACGTGAAATTTGCGGTTCCGTTTTGAGACAAGAAACAGGAGAAGTGATCTATCCACCAGAGGGTGGTAACTACGAAAATAGAGAACGTTGCGCATGGATCATACGTACCACAACTAATAAAATTCTCAATATAACTTTCAGTAAATTTGATTTGCAAACATCGCTTGACTGCAGCAAAGATTTTCTGCAAATTCACGATGGTCGTTCACTTAGTGCGCAGCTTGTGGGACGCTTCTGTGGAAGCGATTTGCCTCACGGCGGTACCATTATGACTTCTCATCAAGAAGTATTTTTTTGGTTTCGTACGGATAATGAAACTACTTCAACTGGCTTTAAATTTTCGTGGGTATCACAGCCTCACACATGTGGTGGTCAATTTGAATTGGGTATGGGTAACAGCGATGTAATAAAGTCTCCAGGTTATCCCGGAAAGACACCTATTAACCGTGAATGTGAATGGGAGTTGGAAGCGAGTTTTGGTTATCGATTTGTATTGCGCTTTTATGAAATTAATCTTGGTGGTGATTCTAATTGTACACAAGATACGCTAAAGATTTACGACTCAGATCGCCTCGTGAAAACTTTCTGCGAGTCTGAAAAACCTGCTCCTTTCTATACATCTTCAAATATAATAAGCATACATTTCCATACAGATGCTTTTCGAGAAGACAGTTCATTTCAATTACATTATGAGGTGATACCAAGTTCACCGAACTGTGGTGGAATTTTCACTGCGCCAAGAGCTACCATCGGCGGCCACATTAATGCAGAAATTTGTCTTTATCTAATACAACAGCCCCCAGGTACTAAAATAAAACTAGAAATTTTAAATTATAATTTATTGGATAGCGATGATTGTGATTTGCAAAAAGTTGAAGTAAGTCAATAATATATATAATACATATATTAGCAATTACATTAGACATATATAAATTCTTAGATTTTTAATGGAAAAACTGACGAATATCCATTGGAGAAACGAATATGTGGTGATTTCAAGTCAGTGAGTCCGATTATATCGGAGGGAAATTACTTGCTTATACGATATGAGTACGCGGTTGTAGGCTTAAAAATTGACACATTGTCTTTCGAAGCAAGATATAGTCGGAGTAAGTGCGTTATATATAGCGTAAATAGAACTTATGAGTACAAATGTCTTTTTTAAGTTTGTGAGGACAAATTTTTCGGTCCTGATGATGGAATTTTTATGACACCCAACTATCCTAACCCCTATTTTGATCACATGACTTGTACATATGACATTTATGGTCCATTGGGGAGTGTGATCCATATTAAGTTTGCAGATTTTCAAATATCTGAAAGTGTGCCAACGCTTCTGGATGAAGATGGTCACAATGTGAAATTGAAGCAACTTAACGACAGTGATGTTGATGAAAATCTTAATTTTGTTGAGGTTTGTAAAAAATGTATACAATAGTTGGAAACTTTACCAACATGTGTTTAAGTCTAAAGGCAAACATTTTGAATGTTTATTTTTATTTGCATTTTAAGGTTTATCTATCTAAGATAAGTAAACGTCGATTTTATAAGAATGCTACTCCAGAGCCATTGGTATCCAGCCAGAATCACTTGCGTATTATTTTCAAAACAGCAGAAAATAGTCGTAAGGCGAGAGGATTGAAAATAGAATATTCTTTTGAAACTGTGCGTTGTGGTGGAATTTTCACAGAATTACGTAACAGTTACGAAAGCAACGAGAAGCTCAGTGACGTCTCTTATTGTGAATGGATTATTGAAGCACCAGAAAATAAACACATATCTTTGACTCTAACCTACACACCACCACAAAATGCCAATAACTTCAGTCTTTCGTTGCATTCAAAACTACCTGATACCAAAGACGAAAAGCTTCTGGCTAGGTAGGAACTATGATTTGTAATCTATGTTTCTATAAAATCATGTTTTTTCATAACGATTAATCCACAGTTATTCTCAAAATATTTATTTGAATGAAGTGTTTCACACGAATGTATTGACAATAAAGTCTGTTAATGGCTTAACGAATTCTTCTGACTACTTTCCGGCATATATATCTTTCAATTATACTTTAGTGGATAGTGCGGAAAGTAAGTTGGATGTAATAAAAATAAGACCTTTTAATTAAATCTCACTGATTTTTCACATTATTTTAGACTGTGGTGGTAATTTCAGTACAAGGTTCGGTGTACTTACGTCACCTGGTTGGCCAATGCCTTACGGTAATGACTTGGATTGTGTATGGATTATAATTGCGCCACTCGGTCACACAATAGAACTTGTGCCTAAGGAATTCGGTTTGGAGCAAGTTTCGACTGTATGCGATGATGATTTCTTAGAGATAAGGTAAAATAATTATTACTTAAAATTTAAACAAAACTTTGCTATTAAAACTGTTAATTACTTTCAGACAATTCGTATAAGATACTTTCAAAAGTAAATATAAATTTTCAAAATAGGTGTTTGCAATAAGATTATCTATTGGGTATAACGTACATTAGTGATATATTCACTGATGCAACTTGAATATAGCAATTCGCAAATCCATTATTTGATAGTGATATACATTGTTTAAGAACAGTAGTCAAAACATATTAATTAGTCTTTAAACCATTCATGTTTCTGTTTGTCACATTTTGACTTAACATTTGGGCATTTTGTGTCTTTATTATGGCCAAAAATATGATTATAGTGTGCCATCTGTTGACAAGTACACGTGTTGGTAAATTCATTTGTTAAAAGTATATATGTTATCCGAAAATACAGAGAGATAATAGTAATCTCAAAGAATTTTAATTTTCCAGTTTCTTTTACTCTAAACGTGAAGCATAAACACTATATCATTTTCGAGACCTAACTTTTATTATAATTAGGTTGTTTACTGTTCGAGATAATCGACAGCTCTTATAGGACAAAAGACGATGGTATAGGATTGTAATATTTTAGTTCATCTTTCTTATATGCTCTAAACTGCAGCACTACATCTCGCAAGTGCAATTACGCACTACGTACAAAATTATCATAATTATCTTGATATTAATTTTCTTAAATTTTTCTTCTCGACCATTTCTGTACTTTAACACCCATTCTTTTTCTAATTATTCGTCATGGTAAGAAAATGAATAGTATGTCATTAGTGTTTTTGTTTTCTTCATCGCTTGGAGTAACACTTCACAATAATAACATATCTCTAACCTGGGTATTATATGACCTTTGAAAAAAGTATTGGAAACTATTATTAACAATTAGTGACTTTAACTCCATTAAGAGATTGATCATTTGAATAAAAATATAACATATTTGCTATGCAGAGGACACATCTGTGATAAGCAGAATAAGCAAATAACAAAGTCTTTGAAATTAGTTGCATTAGTATCCCACTAAGTTATAAACGATACTTTTTTTCTATATCAGGAGCGCCTCCTGTGACAGATTTTATCATGCATGAAGCTTTGTCAAGATAGAGAGCAGCTAAAATATGGTTTCCATTATTTTATTTTACCGATAAAAAGCACGTGTAATATATATAGTATCTCTTTAAAGGTCAGGCTTCTGCATAAAATCAACAAAAATATTTAAAAAGAAATCTTTGTAACACATATGTTAGTCAGGCTGTCTATAATATAGAAATCACTCCGAACATGGATTATACCTTAGTCTGACACATTAGACGAGTACCAACATTTGTGTGATCGGCATTAAATTTAGGCGCCAGGTGGCAGTAACGTAATGTTCTACATATTTACCTAAACGATTTAAATCCATTTTCCTGTGAAATACAGAAACAGATCAGGTTGCAGACCGGGTACTTTAGCTAGAAAACATTTTTTTGTTCAAAATTTAATTATCTGTTAAATTTAATTACTGTTAAATATTAAAGAACTTAATTAAAGAAAAATTATATATTTATTTTTTTTCGATTTATTCTAGGAATGGCATGTTTAGTAATTCTCCATTAATTGGTCAATATTGTGGAGTGAAAATACCAGACCGAATACCATCTTTTACAAATGTGTTATATATACGCTTTGTATCGGATTGGTATATTTCTGATAAAGGGTTCAATATTGTTTGGCAGCAAACTAGTACTGGTTGTGGAGGCAAACTAGATTCATTCTCAGGTTCCATACATTCGCCACATAATGCGGAAATATCTGGTGAAGTGGTGTGTAGTTGGAGTATAACCGTTTCACCCGGTTCCGTTATAAATCTTAATCTCACTTCTAATAATCCAAGTGCCTTATGTAGACAAAATAGTTTAACTATTTATGATGGTCCCTTAACAAATAGTCCCACACTCAAGCTAAACTGCACAAATTTTGGAGATGTGTTAACATTGCAGTCAACATCAAACAAAGTACATGTACGTTATAGTGCTGATGGAGATGGACTTAAATTTGTACTGGATTATGTAACGAATTGCAACGTAATCATTAATAGTTTGCAGGGCATCATCGAATCTCCTAATTTTCCAGAAAATTATCCATATGACTTGAAATGTGCTTGGGAGTTACGCGGAGGTCGTAAAATGTCTCTTCTTTTTTCTCATTTGGATGTAGAAGGTTCCAAATTGAACTGTGCGTATGATTACATAGAAGTTGTAGATATGCGTAATGATGAAGTACTTTCCACTCAACATTTATGTTCCATACCCACAAGTACAATTACAAACAGTGGCAGCCATCTCATATTAAAATTTTTCAGCGATGGCTCCTTTAGTAAAAAAGGATTTCGTGCAGAGTTCAAAGTTGTTGGATGTGGTGGTCATTTAACGGATAATAACGGGCGCATTGAAACCCCTAATGCTCCATATAGTGTAGATATCGATTGTAGATGGTATATAGAGGTCCCATCAGATAGACAAATTGTACTTAATATCAACTCAGTTCAATTTGGTTCTTCGAAACATTGTGATTCAGATTATGTGATAATATCAGAATCATACAATGCTTTAGAATTCAACAAGCAGTGCGAAAGAAGTATTAAACCTTTAATTTTTACTTCATTTGCGAATCGTTTATTTATACATTTTCATACAAGTGAGAGACGGGAGCAAAAGTTTCTTAAAGCTTCATACTTCACTAAAAAAGCTGATTGTGGTGGAACTTATCATGGAGGCAGTAACACTATCTCATCACCCAACTACCCTCATGACCAACTGAAAAATATCGAATGTGTTTGGTATATAACAGTGGATGACGGTAAAAATATACTCTATGGATTGAATGGATATAATGTGACGAGCTCATTAAATTGCACCAGTGCTTCCATAACAATTAGTGAAGAATTAAATGGAGTTTGGACACCAAAAAAACCAATTTGTGGTGATAGTGAATATGTATCTTCAATGGATCTTTACAATCTTTGGTTTAGTGTAGGAAATCAAATAAGTATTACCGTAAAGGCCGATGTTAATAGTACTGCAATGTTTGCCTTTTCATATTACGAGGTAAATTTGAAGTAAAATTGCTTCTGTAATTATTTTGCAAATGTTGATGTTTGTAAGAATGTGTTTATTTATGTTTGCATTTATAAATAGAATTTTTTTTATAATTACTCATAGGAATGCCATGTCACGTTAACCGATACCAGTGGTGTTCTTAGCTCCATTTCTTCGAAATATTGCAAATGGGTTATTGTAGCGACAGAAGGTAAAATAATCTGATAATATATAATACTAATATTTTATTAATTCTTTTTTTATAGGTTCACAAATAAATTTAAATATTTTGCATATAGAATGTAATGGTAAGCCTTTACACAGTTTAAAGGTAAATTAAAAAAAATTAATTTAAAATGATAAATATTAATTTTCTTTTCAAATGAAGATATATGACGATTCTAAAACATTATTACACAATTTTTGTGAGGAGCACACATCACATGTTATCGCATCAAGTAATTTGACTATTGAAGCTCAGTTTATAAACTTCCGTGCTTCATACTCCACCATACAGACTTCATGTGGTGGTGTTATAACGTCTCTGCGTGGCACTTTAGCGTCGCCTTATTATCCTAGTACTTATCCATCAAATGTAGAATGTGTTTGGGATATACGAGCTTCGAAGGGTAACTTTATTGAAATCAATTTCGTAAACTTGGATATGGCAGAGTCAGATCGTTGCAATAATGACTTTTTGGAGCTTCGAACTACAATTCGTGGTAAAATATTAGCAACTTTATGTGGAAAAAATATGCCAACAGCTCCGATTGTAGTACTTGAAAATATATGGATTAAATTTCGCAGTGTGGAAGGTAGTTCCGGCAATGGCTTCAAGTTGACATGGAACTATGGTACTTTGCACAAAATATAACTATTTTAAGCTTGCATTATTAATATTTGCATTGCATTATATTACATTAATATTTTTCTTTGATGCATCATACTAATTTAAGCTCTTCATTATCGGCAGTTGCGTAGATCAATCAATATAGTTGTAAATGAAAACTCTTAAAAATCTCTTTACTAAAGTTAATTTTTAACGCTGTAGCTACGGTCACATACATATGTTATCTATAGCATCTGACTAACTCTCGATCTAGCAAGAAATATCCAACTACATTGTTGTTATATGAACTCACAGTGGCGTCGGTACGCGTCAGCGATGTCGGCGACCGCCGACGGACTCTCGCCCACAGGGGCCTCGCAAAAAGTTACCGACTGTGGATTCTAAGCACTTAATAAATATTTTGATCAATTTGGTTTGATAATGGCATTAACCATATTCGAAGTATTCCCGAATGTTTATATAGTAACCAGATTAATGTGCACAGTTCCAGTCAGTATAGCTTCGACGGAAAGAAGCTTCTCAAAGTTAAAATAAATTAAGACGTACTAGAAAAGTATGATGAGCCAAGAGAGACTATTCCCAGTGGAAATTCTATATACTGAAGCAAAAATAGCAATTCATTCATTTTAATTTGTGTTTATTTTAATTTGATTAGCAATAAAACTTTCAATCATGCTTTGTCGTATTAGTGAATGTAACTTATTTATTTTTACAACTGGGTTATAAAGGGAGCCTCGCAATTCTGATGTCGCCGTCGTGCAGAGTTGGTCTAGCTCCGCCACTGTGAACTCAATATGGACGTTTGTAAGGAAAAAGGGTATCTTATAATGAAATAGGCTCTCAACTACTTTGAAAATTAATTAATACATATTTAATACTTTTTCCAAACAAATCATTAGTAATGCTCGAAGCTGCGGTTGCTAGGATAGAATACATAACATAGTTATAGATGCTGGGGTGTTAAAACTTGATGCTATCAAACTGCAAAAAAGAAATATATACTTCCTCTTTAAATTGCAACGCTTAACCATCACATTTGCTAATAATACAACTTAGACACAATCGCTCAAGCACATGAGAGTAGCTGAATATTGAAAATTACCTGCCAGTCCAACCAAACACATAAAATCACTTCTCTTGCCATCAATTCCCGTTTTTCATAGATTGTGAAAGTTTCATTTTACTTCATTCTAACATTATCTATAGGACCAACTTTTTAACAATTGCTATAGCCTATGATTTGAATTTTTTAGGATTGAACAGCGATCAGTTGCTGAGCACTCATACGTTTTAACAAACAGAAATACATTCCTGTAATATATATTTTACATATACCTTTTGGATAATACAAAATTTAATATTTAATAATATTTAATTCTCATCATTCATTTTGCAGCCCACGATAATCTATTTAACAATTTAACTGGTATAATTGAATCACCACCAGTTGGTTCCATTGCTACTCAAGAGCCCTATAGTTGGCGAATAGAACTACCACGAGATCAATTAATCACACTCGAGTTTAAGGAGTATCTTAGTGGCTTAAACGTAAGTACAAATAAATATTTTTACAATTTTTCAATCATTTACCGCCTTTTAATTTTTATATATAGCTCTATGATGGGTTTAGTGACATTGCTCTGAAAGTAGAAATTCCTTATTCTCCTTGGAGATTTGTTTCAAGCACTAATGTAGTCTTCCTAAATTCTATTAACGATGAATTACAACCATTTCTAATAAATTGGAGTGCAGTTAGCAAAGAAGTTGTGAGAAGTAACCAAACAGTTAATAAGTGTGGAGAAGACTTAATAATATCCTTTAGTACAGCTGTAAAACTAAATTCACCCGGTTACCCTAATGGCTACGATGATAACTTGCACTGTACTTATATAATCAAACCGGAAGAAAATATTCACCACGTTGTCTTTGAATTAATGTTTTTGGACTTAGAAGAAATTTCAGATTGTAGTGCTGATAACGTGCGAGTTTTTTCCTCCAGTAATCTAGAGGATTGGCATGAAGAGCTGAAAGTATGCAATAGCAAAAAGGAAGAAACTAAAGCAATTGCAACAATACGAGGCACGCCTTACTTAAAGGTAGAGTTTAAGAGCGATGCTAGTATCAACGGAACCGGGTTCTCTTCATTCCTCACTACAGAATGTGGCTCGAACATAACTAACAGCAATGTGGGCACAATTATAGGAAATCATGTCATGCGTTCGCGCTTGATGAACTTTACTTGTTTGTGGCATATTGAGGTAAGACCAGGCAAGCAAATAAGCGTTGAGTTCAAGTTTAATAGAACAATTTCAACTGATAAAGACTGTGCACAGTATGCGATAGTATATGATGGCTTAGATAGTCATGCACCAATTTTTCCACCTGGTCATATTTGTCAAGCAGTTGGTCACACTGTAAATTTGTTAACAACCAGTACCAATCATGCAATTATCAAATATGTTTTACCGTTTTCTTGGATAACTTTTAACAGAGCCCAAATATGGAATATTACCTATCGCGAGTATAGTGAGTGTGATGAAGAAATTTATTTAACGCACTACGCCAGTTACATAAATATTAGTTCGCCACGTTATCCGAACGTACCTCATCCACACACTGAATGCAAGTGGATCATAATTGGACCACCTGGAGAAACACTCCAACTAAGTTTTATAGATCGATTTGATATGAATACTCGGTATTGCGATAAAGAGTTTATTGAGATATTTGATGGAGCTACTGATTTGGCTCCTAACTTAGGTCACTTTTGCAGACGTCCGAATATTGTACGCTCCACATCCAACATATTGACTATACATTATTTCACCGATATCGCTGAACCTCATAATGGTTTTCGTGTAAATGCTTCTATTGCTAGGTGTGGTGGAAGTTACAATTCAATGTATGGTGACATTACCTCATTGAATTATCCGGCTCTTGGTGCATATCCCAAAAATACGATATGTGAATATTCAATAAAACTAATTAGAAATGCTCGCATGATTTTAAATTTCACGGATTTACATATTCCGTTCAATAATAATAATGTAAATAATTCAGATCATCTAGATATATTCAGAATTCTCGATGAGAACACTACCGAATTAGTAACTGTTATATATGGAAATGAAACATTACCCCAAGTGGAGATTGATGCGAAGGAAGTGTTGATAATATTTTCAACATTTCTTGAAAATCATAACTATCGTGGATTTAAAATAAATTATAAACGAATTTCTAGTACATGCTATCGATATGTTAGCGGGCTATCTGGTAATATTGAATTAGATATTCCAAGAGATAATTCATTGCCCACATTTTGTCGTTGGAAAATTACTGTACCAAAAGGACAAGTAGTACGTTTCGAACTCCTAGATACTGACAGATTTAATAGATTGGTTTCAAATAATGGATCGGAAACGTGAGTATAAAATATAAATTATTTTAACTATAATCATTTTACATTCAAAATATTATTTAAATTATTTCAATATCACCACATTCTATTGAAGAACAGAGTGATATTTCCAACAGTTTATTTCTGTAAGAAAATTTTAATATATTTAAACTATATAAATATTATATATAATTGAAACAGTTACATTAAAACTATTAAAGTATTATTGTCTCAATATTTCTGACAGATCGCCACCACGTTCTCAAGTCAACTATTCTCTTAATTTTAAAATCTTCAATAGCATCGATTCCATTGCTAAGATAACTGAATTCTATTTTGAAGACTACAATTCCTCTAACATAATACAGTCAACCGATAACTTAATGTATATCCAAATTAGAATCGGTCGATTAATTCACTCAATACGCAAAATACATGCACGTTATTCTTCCGACCATGAATCGCACTGCCCGGTGGATATTCCAACTCATATTACCTCCGGTTTCTTATCTGTAACTGCGGATCAATTCAATTATACGAACTTTTACTGTCGCACTCAATTTTATCAGAATGGCGATCAGACTTTGACATTTAACATTAGCTCACTTGTTTACGGCCACAGCAATACGTACTACCAAATCAGTCCGGTACGGTTTAAGGACGAGCAACTATTTGTACCATTTGTTGCGCTTACTTCAAATGCTAGCAATATGGTAATTTCTTCTTCTGCAAAGAGGGGCTCCATAATTACCTTCCAAACTGAATTTGTGCAATTTAAGGAATTTATGGTAAACTTCCGCCGTCACGAATGCGGTGGAGTACAGCAATTGTCAAACGGTTTTCAACTGAAAAGTCCGGAATTTAGTATTGAAAATTATGGACCTCTAGAATGTGTTTGGATTTTAAGAGCAACTTACACCACATATTACCACTTAAATGGTACAATAAATTTTTCAGATACTTGTGACCGAGAGTACTTGGTTGTATATGCAGGACCGTCAAATCTATTTCCGGAAATAGGTCGATTTTGTCGCGATGTAACTGACTTTTCTGGTACTTCTACATCCAAGTTATTTACGCATGTCCTATACCATGCTGAAAATTTTAAAACATCGGAAAGCAATTTCATTCTTGAAGCACAGACACATATTATATGTGGCAGTACCACCGCAATTCGAGGACAAGTTTCCAAAATCTCAGTTGATTCCAAAACATATAAAAATAATATGGAATGCAGTTGGGAATTTGATGCAGCAAATGGATATTACTTAGTTTTGTCATTTGTTGATAGATTTTTCATTGAAGATTCTGAAAACTGTACAAACGATCAATTAGAAATTCAGACATACGAAGCTGGCATTTGGGTGAAAGCAGCAACATTTTGCGGTCGTGAATCACCTGAATCATATAACACCAAATCAAAGCGAATACGTATCGTTTTTCGAACGAATAATGTCACTACTGGAGATGGTTTCACCATAAATGTTCACTCCACCTGCAATGTTGTCCATGTTCTTACCGACGAATTTAATCAAGTCGTGGAAACCACTCGATTGGCGAACAGTTTTATAGGCAGTCCGCAATGTGAGGTAACAGTGAAAACGGAAACGGAAAAGTTGATAATAGCCCATTTGTATATGGGACTTAGATTCTCTGCTGCAAAAACTTGCAATTATGAGCGTGTTACAGCATATGTAAAAAGCAAAATTAATGGTACCGATATATCGTCTGGAGTTTATTGTAATGATGCAGAAATAAGAGCTCCTAACTATCTTAGATTAGTATATAGTGGATACTTTGACAGAGGTGATTCCTTAAAAATGGAATTCAAACTAAACAGTTGTGGTGGTAACATAACATCACCAACTGTTATTTATCCATTGCAACATGAAGAAAATGAACAGTATGCAGATAATATGAACTGTATTTGGTACTTGCGTGCAGCTCCAGATCAGTCCATTGTAGTTAAATTCAAATATTTGGATATGGAAGAAAGTTTTAGTTGCTCCTTTGATTATATTGCTTTATATTCGGGTACGAATTTAAATGACGAGAAACGTGTGGCCAGACTTTGTGGTAATATGACAGATAATTCCCCAGTCATAATGCTGGATAGCAATACTGGTGTTATAAATGCTGTATCTGATGTCAGTGTTGGATCCAAAGGATTCTCTGCGAATATTATATTCATGCCAAATTGCAATGAACGCATCACACTTTCAGTCGATCATCCAATTGTGTCTTTACCACGACAGTTCAATGTCACAGAAGATCTACTGTGCCACTATCGGATATCAGGACCACGAGGCTATCGTATTAATATTCAACTTAAACAATTACATATAAATAATCAAACTTCCTGTCGAACTTTAGAAAAGTGTAAGTCGTGTAACTTTATTGAAATACTGGACAGCGCTGCTAACCGACGTTTATCTATGGGAAAATATTGTGAAGATGTGCACACTACCATATCATTATTTACGTCAGTGGAAGACGCCTTAATAAAATTTGATGCCACCAATACAAAGGGAAAGGTCGAATTTGAAATTGTTTTGAGCTTGATTGAATCGGAATGTGGAACAGATGAATATGTACTACACAATAATGAGGTATGTATATATGAAGTTTCAGGATGTCTTAAGTATTAACTTAAATTCATTTAACCTGAATTTTCTAGATTTTGAATATTGCATTTCCACTGAAGAATACTAGTGAACTTTATCCACCAAATAAACATTGCAAGTGGAAAATTAAAGCAACATCTAACTTTGTAATAAACTTCAACAAGTTTCTCTTACAAAATGCCTCACAAGTGGATAATAAATGTTTAGACTATTTGCATATACAAGGAGAATATGTAAGTATGAATCACAATTACTTACTGAAATCACCTTTTAATTAATATTATAATAGTTGCATATTGAATGGTTGTATTCTTCTTTAACAAGAGTTTGTACGAAGCATCGCAGACTATGTGATTCCTGATGTGCCGAAGCTACAACTGTAGTTCTGAGAAAGTCATATATCTCTACAATTGCCCTCTGCACACAAAGATATGAAACAAACCACTCTTTACTCTTCACTGAAATGTACTATAAATATTTCTTTTAATTGCGTTCCATATGAATGACAAAACCTTAAGAAGAGTATTCTTCATACCTTGAAGTTTAGCATTTAGAATCCCGCTTCGAAGTGCAATCATTAGTAATAAATAGTACGTTGAATATTTACTATTTGGATGTTGAGTCTGATATATTTCTTATAAAGCAAATCATCAATCACTATAAACTCACTATTCTATCATATTCATTGTTTCAAATCTTAAGTATAAAACAGTTATAACCATTGGGGAAACTAATGACTGTCAGCTATCTCTTTTATAAAAGTTTGTAGTTCCTTGGCATTAGTGGAGCATATGTTTCTATTTTCTGTTGTAATAAGTTTTTAAAACTTCTGTGTAAATAGGGCAAGACCTGACTATATATCCATTATCAAAGGTTTACTCTTAAATAGTTACTTTTTTCTATGTCCGCATAAAACCATAGTAAATACGCACATATTTTAGAGTCATGAGAGTTTTATAGAAATTTTTAGTGAAGTTCTTAATGCTCCTTTAAAAGATCACAACCGCACTTAATTAATCATGGTCTCTTAATGATTAAAAAATTATTAAACCTGGAAACAAAATAGTAATTTTTTTACTCGGCCGTAGTGGTTAATATAAATCACATAACACAATGACTTTTTGTAAATACAGAAACAAAATAACAGAGTACAAAGTAAAGCCGATTTCAGTTATTGTTTTAGTTTGTATTTAATAGTTATTCATAGGCCTTTCTCAATATATAACTTGGACTAATGCAAAACCATTGCAGTTATATAAACAAATTGTATGTAAAGACAACATCATTTAAAGTGATTGCAGGAAATTATTTAAAGAGATTTAAAGGAATCTGACCTCATATATACGATTAAAACTGAATATCTTAAAATACCTGGAAAGTGTCTTAGATTGCCTCAATAGGTGATACATTTTTAAATGAGCATTCAAAATGATTAAAACTGTTTGCATGATAATGTTTTTCGAAAGGAAATTGAAAGTATGTAAAATTAAATCTCAATTCATGCAGTAGTGCGAAATTATAATAATAATTATAATATTATTGCCATATTTTACCATAATATATTTGTAACTTTGACATTATAAATGTGATATTAATTTTCAAATCAACTATGTTTTTAAATTTTATTTTAATAATTGCAGAGGTTTTGTGAAAAGTAGTGAACTACAACAACAAAAATTCTTATATTTCTAATGTTTTTATTAATTGAATTTTTGACTGAACATACAGCTGTTTTGTTTTGTTTTGCCAAAAACCCATTATCAGTGGTCTTAGAAATAATTCTTGTATTTAACTATTCATAAATAATTTTTTAAGACAGCAAATACTAGGGATTGTATCTGTGCCCTGCCAAATTTGAAACTCAGAGTCACCGTTCATTAGCCAACGTACCCAAAGGCAACTGACGTTTTTATGTTCGCGCATTTTTCCGAAGTTTTGTTAATTTGCTGTGAAAGTTTATTAACAAATTCATTCTGTGTTATATTAGACCAAAATCATAAAGTAGCTGTAGAATAATTAAATTAATTAATTACATTTTATTTTTAGTTTTTTAATTTCAATACCATACTGTTTGTAAAGACATTACTTAATGATTACACAATAAACCACTTACACGATTTTTATTTGTTATTTATTTGTTATTAATTATTATAAACGCTATGCATTTGTCTCTAGCCCTTACAGACATTCAAGTTACTTTGCACTTTTTTGCCTTCTTTCTCACTTATTAGTATTTTATAAACCATAGAAGGAATTTTTCTGAATGACTTACAATGAAAACATCAATTAAGATCTATTTTAAAATGTTTGAATTATTTTTTTAATGCAGTTATCTACCTACTACTGTGGTAATTCAACTGGTTTCAAACTTCCTATTGATGATTCGGAAAAGTCCATTATTCTAAGCTTCCATAGTGACGAATTTTTTGAATACCCTGGATTCAATATAACAATTCAACATCAGCAAAGTAAGTGATGTATTAAAAAATATTAAATTAATAATATTAAACAACATTTGTTAACAAGTATTTATATAGTTTCTATTATTTTATTATCTGTTTTTTAGCGTGTAACAACAGCTACACTAAATTAAATGACCACATCGATTATTATAGGGGTACATTTGAAGAGGTACAGTGTGTGGATGATATACGTGTGCCGGATGATTACAAAATAAGTTTCTACATGCAATCAATATTTTTTAACACATATAACTGCTCCACCAGTTTTCTTAAGGTATTAGCACCTTCTAATGTAAACAGTCTAATATTAATCAATTATCAATTTTTAGTTTATTGACTTGCATACAAATCAAACATTATTGGAGACATGTCAAGACAGATTTACTTACAGTTCTCTACATACAAACACAAGTGCTGTACGAATATATGTAGACCATTTCAGTTATATAAAAATTGAGTATATAGCAGTTAATCGGTCGTTACCAGCAGGTTGTGGTGGAGAAATATACAACAATGATGGAGTACTATCAAGTCCTTATTATGATAACGATCGTAACTTTTCTAATTGTAGATGGGATATAAAAGTACCTTCACCAAACTACATTCGCATTTATTTTTCCAGTTTGTTTCCTTGTTTTCGATTATTTAATATCTTGATTAAATTTTTAATCTTTCAGGTTTTGATATGGGATCCAAAGTAAATTGTCCGCTGGATAATGTAACCATTTATAAAATTTTACCGAATGGTTATGAAGAAGTATTTTTAACTCTATGCGGCCAAAATTGGGCAGGAGCTTGGGATGCTGTAAAAGTACCAAGTAGTCACATTGCAATTGTTTCGAAGAAATCACCTAACTTCGATGGATCTGGATGGACATTAAATTTTTACACATATGATGAACGATCTAAATTTGAAAAAAAATTATTTGTATATAGTTAATCTAAACAATGTTTTATAGTTTTAAATAAATTAAAAAAATTCATTGTTATGATCGTATCTAATCTGACAGAGATTTGCTAATTTGGCACTCAAACCACTTAGCTCGATGAGAGTAGTATACCAATTTAACCAGTTACATGTAAGTTGAAGGATAAATAACAAACGTGTTTTTTTTGTCAGTAGCCAAAGTAAAAGTAACCTAGTCGCGTTAATAAAGTTGAGAACTGCGAAGGAAAAATGAGACTTTTCCAGAAAAACACGTTGATGTCCAGCTAGTAGCAATTAGGCGATCTAATAACATCGCATTAATATGCCATTAATGAAATTACGCGCATGGGCCAGATTTGAGAGGCCTCGACTGTTAAGTTGTATAAAGTTTACTTGATTTTATTTTATTTCCTGTTTATTGTAAGTAACAAAGTTAGTACATAACAAAATATGTTCAAGGTTTCTTAGGCACTTCAAACTTGTATAAGTTCTGAATTTGAATTGAATTTTAAGCCTTTACACAAAATCTTAGCATCACGGCTACGGTAAATGCACCTAAATCACTCGATTTGTTACCCAATACACCTTGAGAATTGGAGGCTAAATGTACTCATGGGAGTTTTATGGATTACCCGCGCTTACATTATACCTGCTTAATACATTTAAATTAGCAAGCTGATATATGTGCTTTGTCATATACCTTGCCTTACAAATTTGGTTAATTGAATATGTTATCACTATACCATGTGCCAACCCATATTGAATCTGTGGGAACAACAGAATTATCACATTGGCATGCCTCTTTCTGGAACTCGCAACGAATGACCAATATATTAAAGCAACACTAACGCTTGTCAGCCTCCACAGTGGCCTGTAAAAATGCTCATATTTCGTCTGATACGCTGATAGCGTACGAATATTTATATGTAAGATCCAGCAACATTCCTACGAATAACACATCACTTAATAAGTCGTGTAACTGAAACACAGATGGCGCCGCCATTGTCAAATCCATATGACGTTAATGAAGTATCAAACTTCAAAAGACTATGTGTAAAATTTCATGACATTTCGATTAGTCAGAAAAAAAGTGATAGCCATTTAAGTGAACATTTGACCATGAGAAAGCTCTTTTTTTAAAGTGGGTGCCGCGTTTACTCACAGTCGATCAAAAACAACAACGTGTTAATGATTCAGAGCAGTGTTTGGCCATATTTACACGTAATAAATCAGGTTTTTTGCGTTGATATGTGACAATGGATGAAACATGGATCCATCACTTTATTCCGAAATTAAAACGATCATCATCTGAGTGGACTGCAGCCGGTGAACCACGTCCGAAGCATCCAAACGCACAACAATCAGCTGGGAAGGTTATGGCTTCAGTACTTTGGGATGCACATGGTATAATCTTCATTGACTATCTTGAGAAGGGAAAAACTATCAATAGTAACTACTAGACGGCATTACTGTATTGTTTGAAAGCAGAAATTATGGAAAAACGACCGCATATGGCGAAGAAAAAAAATTTTGTTTCACCAAGACAATGCACCATGTCGCAAGTCAATAAAAACGATGGCAAATTGCACGAATTACACTTCGAATTGCTTCCTCATTCACCGTATAGTCCAGATTTGGCCCCAAGCGACTACTGGCTGTTCGCTGATCTCAAAAAAATGTTTGCCGGTAAGAAATTCATCTCAAATGAAAAAGTAATTGCTGAAACTAAAGCCTATTTTGAGGCAAAAGACAAATCCTTCTACAAGCACGGCATCGAGAAGTTAGAGAAGCATTGAAATGATTGTAGTGCCATTGAAGGAGATTATGTTGATGAGTAAAATTGATTTTTGGCAGAAAAAATTTATTTTTCTTACTTAGTCACACGACTTGTTGAGTGATAGATTATATGCCAACACAAATAATCTCAAAGAAAATAAATAAGAATGAATAATTTTCCATTATAATACGAATCATATTTAACTCGTATTAAAGAGAGTTTCATATATACTGAACAGACACTTTAAACAGTACAATAAAACAATAAAAATATGAGTTTTATGGTTCACTTCGAATGGAAGATTTGTAGTTATACTCGTACGATTGTCACTTCTAATGGAAAGTGACAATCATCACTTCTAATAGAAAGATATTATCACAATTCTTATTGTGCCCAATCCAAGTCGTCGCACAATGTCTACATGGTAACCCTGGATTAATACTTGAGTAATGTACTAATATATTAACAAAAATTCGTACAGTAGGTCGTATTCTCAGTGTTTTCATATGTTCAGTATGTGCAACACCTGCCAGTAATGAACAATAAAAATCATCAAGTTGGACAACCATTGTATATGAAACAAATGCTATTACATATGAGTAAGT